TTTAAATACTGTAACAGCTAAAAGGCAAAATAATGTAATATATTCTCCAGGTAATAGCTTCCAATTTACTGCATATTTTGGGTGAAATATGTATGGCATAGGGCAAAGTATTTGTTTAAGTGTATGTAGCCAACTAGAGTGAGTTTGTTTGTATTAGTGACCTTTCATGTATCCAACCTGTGCAGTGAATAGGGATCCTGCAAAATAATGGTATGTGGTCATGTTAATAAATACTCTATCCTAAATATAAAATCACTCCTGATAAAATTTGCTGATGACACAAGGGTTGGAAGAGTGGTAAATGATGATGAGGGTAGGGCAATCAGAGCAATCTGGATTGCTTGGTGAACTGGGCCCATTAAAGCAACATATATGTTAATGAGCCAAATGCAAAGTTATGCACCTAGGAGCAAAGAATACAGACCATACCTACAGAAAGGGGGCCTGTATCCAGGAAAGAATCTAGGGGTCATAATGGACAAACACCTGAACATGAGCTTCCCTGTGTGATGCTATAGCAAAAGGGCTATCCTGGGATGTATAAACAGGAGAGTAGTAAGTAGGAGTAGGGAGGTAGGTGCATTGGTGAGACTGGCAGTGGAGTATTATGCCTAGTTCTGATGTCAACATTTTAAAAACGATGTTGAAAAACTGAAGTGAGTGCAGCAAAGAACTACAAAAATTATATGGGGGGGGGGGAGAAAAAGGTTTGAGATATCAAAGTGCTTGGTTTCTTTGACTCCTCAGGTGAAGGATAACTTTGAGGTTCTTGCCCCCTCTTTTTATAGTCAAGTAAACCTTTGAAATGTATTATTTGAAAAGTAAGCTCAGACACAGTTTCTTTCTCTTGCTGGGGTGTAGACGCTAGGCTGTCTTCTCCCCCACTTGTTAGCTGATATCTTTGTTTACCTTATATGTACATGTACCTTCATTGTCTGCCCGATGATCAGGCTGGTCAGACAAGCAAATACACATTCCTTTATCTATCACAAGCAATGCATAAGACCAGTCTGCCCAAAACATTTTAAGAACCTAATTCTAGCGTATATTTGTAACACCCCGTACATATGCCATGCAGTGATTTTCAGGACCAGCTGTTTACCCACCCCCGTTTGTATATACCTAACATATCACCTTTTAGATACTTATTGCCCCAAGTCACTATTGTCATAATCTGTATGTCAGGCCTGACAAGAGTTGCTGACATAGACTAGCAAACCACCTCTCCCCAACATTGATGCAGTAGGTTTAGCCACTGGCTACTCCAGATATCAATTTACAGTCCCCCTGAACTACAGACTCCCAATTATGCTCCTTTTTCCCCAGAGGTAAACCAGGGTTCTGCTCCTCCCTTTGCAGTTTGTGCTCACCGAATGCTTTAGCTTCACACAGGCATCAGCTGCTTTTTGGAAAGAATTCAGAGGCTTATCCCAAATACCTTGTCCAAGTCTCTTCAGGACATATGCGCAGGAACTGTTCCTATGTGAAAAGGTCAAACAATTGGTCATAATTCTCTGCCCCTTCCCCTTGACCCATTTTCTCATCCAATCACACAATGTATACACACATTCCCTATGACTCATCTTGTCATTAATTCTGACATCTCTAAATTTCACTCTATACACTTGAGGAGTAATTTGAAAATTTTGCAGTACAACCTTTTTAAACTCATATTTCAAAGCCTGTTCAATTGGCATTTCATTAAATATATGTAATGCTTTACCCAGGAGCTTAGTAAACAAAATTGGGACTTTCTTGTCCTCTGGAACTTTATGTACTTTGCAGAGTCCTTCAAAAGTGGTAAGGAATTAGTCTGTTTTTCTGTATGCAGAACACAGCTTATCCAAGCTTGGTGTTCCTTGGGGAGAGAGAGTAACCGTGGGCTATGGAACCTGTCCATCCCTTTTCTCCATTCTTAGATTATATAGCTCCCCTACCCCTGCTAAGGTTTCCTTTTCTTTCAGCTCCATGGATTATTGGTGAGCAGCTGCTTCTGCTTCCAGGGCCCGCTTGTGTGCTGCTTTTGCCCGTTCGGTTCACTTCCCATTGTTGGTATTCACACGCTCTCGTTGTTTGGTTTCCCATTTCTGGTGTGCTCATCGTCCTTGCTCAGCCTCTCATTTTAGGCTTTTTGCTCCTTTTCTAAACTAGCCAGCTCTAACTTTGCTGATGTTTCACTGTCACTCATTTTAAATGTCCTCTGTTCTGTTTCCACACCTGAAATAAACAAACAGAAAATAATAAAACTGTAACCTTTCTGTGATTGTTCCCAGACTTTTCACTTGGGTGGGAATCACTTAAAACTATTTTACTAGTGCTTGAATTGTAAACCTCAGTCAAATAGCAAGCTGTGTGTCAATCCTGTTCAGCTATGCCAATGGGAAGCTTTGGGGTTCACCTAGGCCAGTAAGGGGTTCAGTCACCACCTGCTTTTTAACTCTTGGTGCTAGGATGCTGTACTGCTGTTGCTCAGAGCCCTGACACCAACCAGCATACAAACATGCTGGCCACACCCTGGCTTCCACTGCCCAGTTACTCTTTGCTGGGGAACCTCAACAACAGTTCCAGCCCTGAGTTCTTCCCCCCCAAAAGTCTTTCTCTGCAGTACTTTGATTGAAGCGGAGGATTTGTCAGCCCCAGTTAAGTTATAAACTGCTATGTACTTAGTCTCTCTGTAAAGGAGCAGAAAACTTGATAAGGTTTTGTGGGTGACACAGTAAGAAGGGCAGAGCATTGCAGAGAGGCATTTTTGGGGAGAAGTTGGGACTGGGAGGGTTTTGGTGTCACCCTGCAAGGCGTAACCAGGCGTGTGGAAGGCTATTGTGCTGAGCATGCTGTTGCTGTCAGTGCTCTGAACCAAGGCGGCACAACACAGAGGCACCCACGGTACTGGGCAAGTGATGATAAAACCCCATCCTGGTCTGGGCTGAACCCCAGAGTGTCGCAGCGCATGCATAAGCGAGCAGAGCAAAGGTTATACATGGAACCTTTAAACTGGCGCTTCCTGATGTGAATGCTTTCTGCCTCTGTTCTTTCCAAGATCTGATTGAATGAGTCATCCATACCAACCTTCCAAGATTATTCTATATGTAGAGTCAAAAATTCCTGTCCTTTGTGAAAGTGTTCAAACTTTAGAAAACAAACACATCAAACACATTGGGCAGGGACTAGACATGATGGAGAATTTTAGAAAGGTGAACATTTGGCAAACAATTTAAAAAAGTCCTATGGATTATTCCAGTTGTATAATACTTGCCCTTACCCACTCAACACAAATTTTTTTAAGGATAATCTGGTTTGATTTTGGATAGCACGTTGACATATCACGGTAATGTAACTGTTGTATTTGAAAGAAATTTGATCTTGCCTCATTTATTTGAATATCCCAAACATTTCAAAATTACACATTTTGCTTCCTTTGGAATGGTTCTTAAAAAGACATGGTCAGATTTTTAATTTTTGGCTTTTGCCCTCCTTTGGTCTGCATAATATTTTGTTAAAAGTTTGAAATAAGATTGCTTTTCATACCTTTTGTCCTTTTTCCCCTCCGGCAAACAAGTATCCATTACATACCCTACATATAAGCATATGCTTGGACCCCCACACTGCCCACATGTGCAGATGTTTGCAAACTGTTCAGTATTTGAGAAGGATGAATACCTAAGCTTCATGTTAAGTGAGTGCAGTTTTGACTTGAACAGTGCTCCTTGTGCAGGGATTTCTCCATGTTTATGAGCTTACAAGATCAGAGTCTTAGTAACTTCTTTCAGGATAGTATGGGGAATTGACTTACCACTTTTCTTCTTTACTGAGCTATGTAAGTATAATTTTCTTCTCAGCTTCAGAATTGCAGTTTTATAAATAAATACATATTTAAGATTAAAAGGCTATTCCTCTTTCAACCTGATACTCTTCACACTCCTCTGTACAGGGCCATCCACCTTGTTAGTGCTGTATAAGTAACAAGGATGATGATATAAGTATCATAAGCTTATGAATTCTAAACAGCTTTTTTAAAATGGAAAGAAATAACATCTTAAAGTTTGGGGCTTAAGAAATCTGTCACTCATTTAAGTCTTGTTAATCTTCTTGGTATGTATCAAGTTGTTCTAAGTCTCCTTTGATTCAAAATGTAGTCTGAAAGAATAAACTCCATTTTAATACTGTCCAAAATCAATGATTTTACCAAAATCATTGAACAATGGGTCTCACATTAAATATTACCTCTTTGGCATGCAAATGCTTCTAAACCAGATTTCTCATTTGGCATCAAAAGGGTTGATTTAAACATTTGCAATACTATTTCATACCAATCCAGGAAAAAGTAATAAGTAAATTCAGACTGAATCATTTGAACCATATTTTGCATAGTTTGAAAAAGAAAATTAGCACTGAGACTTGGATACTATCTTTCTCTTTACTGCTGCTAATCAAGTGTAAATTGAATTCAGAAAGTTGTGGTTATTCACTTCACATGACCCCTGCTGGGAGATTTAGAGTTTCGTGCAGCTTCATCTTGCTACAGACCACATATGATTGACATAATTAATCAAAGATTATACCACTAATCGGCAACAGAACACAACACAGCAGAGAGAACTCAATTAAAGCTTCTTATCCTCCAATTTGAAAGATCAGTCATGTGAGAGCTCAAAACTCAGCTTCCTATTTTTGCTTAAGACCATAATTATTTAACTTCTATATTTGCTTCTGCAGGGTAGTTTAGCTAAATTTATTTAAAATTCATGCCTTTCTTGCTGTATCGGGATTTAACACTTTGATTCCTGCATCTAATTATTTTCAAAGAAATATCAAAATCTGTTTAAAACTAATATTCAATAGGCTGAAATAATTTAGAAAGCAGTAAGCTATAGGACACAGGCGTGTCTCACTAAAACTTTGCCTCTGGGACTTAACTACCAGTCCTTATAGGACTGAAAAAGGAAAACTGTGGTGACCTTAGAAACTAAGGGTCAAATTCATCCTTACAAAGCAATCAGGCTTTGTGCTGGGAATGGTGTGGCATTTCAGCTTCTTTTCTACCCTGGGTTTGGGAGCAGCTGCCCATCCATGGAGTTTTGGGACCACGGAATCTGCCCTTCAGTAACTGGCATTTGTTACTAAAACTGCCAGCAAGAGGGTGAGCAATAATTCTTACAGAATGCACCCAGAATTTTACCAGAAAGACAGGTCCCTGGCCTGTGGAGTTTACAGTCTGAGTAGATGGGATATGGCAGAGAGAAGTAGTGGGTAGAGGACGAGAGGAAAGTGTAACAAAAATAAGGATGAATTTGCTTTGGAGGTTCTGCTTGTCCTTTTTTGCAGGGAGGCAGTACTGTGGGGTGAACGAGAGAAGGGAACAGTAACAAAGAGATTGTGGGGATGGAAGAGAGGAACAGGGAGATAGATAGAAGATTGAAGGAATGGAAAGGGTGAGAGCATGAAGGAGAAAACAATGGAGAGGAGCTTGTTGTGGAGTTTGGCAGTAGGAGTGGTTTGGTAGCTGGAGATAGGTGGAAGAAAGACTTGATCAGGCAGCCAGCTGGCAACAGTAGAGCATCCAGAGTTTTAGTGGCAAAAGTCGGATGGTTTGAGGCGCCTGGTGTGGGTTACAGGTCTGTGGGTGGTGGTGGAATGTGGACCCCAAGGCGCTGGAGTTCTGTTGTTGAGATCTGGGCTGCAGTTTGGAAACTTATTGAGCAAATATAGAGATTTTTAGCAAAACAAGTTGTAGCAGGCAGCAGCTTAGTTAGACATATTTTCCCCTCTGACCAAACTCATTGTGCTTTAAGTTTAAATTCTGTATCTCTTAATTATTTCCCTAAGCTTCATTCTCTCCCTAATACAAGCATAGGGAAAACTACTGTAAAAGCCTGTAAATGTTTGACAGCTTATACTTGGTTACCGTACTTCAGATCTTCAGTAGTAGGTGACAACAATGGGACTAAAAGGAGGAGAATAAATCCAGAAATGCTCTAAATTGGTAAAAAGAAGAACAGGAGT